GCCCTACCCTCTGCCTCTGGCAAGGGGGAACAGCTGCAGCCCACTTCCTCCAATGGCTGGACCACCACTCTGCCCGTCAGTCCCGGGTTCAAGGCTCAGCCTGGGAATCTTAAGGAAAGTCTCGTCTTCTGCTTTATCTTCAGTGCATTCAGAAAAGGAAAGTGGAAAGTTTCACCTCCTCTTTTGAAACAGCCTGTTAATTATTCACATTTAAGTCTCTTTACTTTGCACGAAGAGATATAGGAAATATGTTTGAGAAAGGAGTTCCACAACCGCCCAGCAGAGAGGATCAAATACCTCCCTTGGTCCTTCACTCCTCAGGGGTCCTCGAACTTGACAACTTTAAGACTTGTGGACTTTAACTCCCAGAATTCCATAGCCTGTTATGTTACCTGAGGAATTCTGGGAGTTGAAGTCCACAAGCCTTAAAGTTGCCAGGTATGGAGACCCTTTGATGTGTAGAGCTGCTTTTGCTCATGGGGAATTTGGCCGATGCTTCCCCAGAATCTGTGTTTCTGAAAGTCCAGGTTCCCTGGCCCTCCTTTCCAGGCACCCAGGAGTTGTCCCCAATTCGGGTCTGAGCCTGGTGCTGAAGCCAATGATGGACACCAGACACGAGGTGCAGGTTTTCTGATTGCTTTTTATTGGGGTACCCCAAGGAAATGGGGTCCTGGACAAAATGCCAAGAACCAAGAACAAAAGGTTAAGTAAGCTTTAGCCACCCGTGATTGCAAACCTATGGCATGCGTGCCACAGGTGGCACGTGGAGCCATATCTGTGGGCACGTGAGTGTTGCCCTAGCTCAGCTCCAGTGCATGTGTGCGCCAACCAGCTAATTTTTGGGCCTTCCGGGCCCACTGGAAGTCAGGAAACGGGCTGTTTCTGGCCTCTGGAGGGCCTCCGGGGGGGTGGGGGAGGGAAAGCCGCTTTTGTCTTCCCCAGGCTCCTAGAAAGGCTCTGGAGCCTGGGGAGGGCAAAAAACGGGCCTTCTGGTCCCACCGGAAGTCAGGAAACGGGCCATTTCCGGCCTCTGGAGGGCCTTTGGAGGGTGGGGAAGGCTGTTTTCACCCTCCCCAGGCGCCAAGAAAGCCTCTGTAGCCTGGGGAGGGTGAAAAATGGGCATACGGGGGGAGCGCGGAGGGGGTCACACATGCCTGCGCGGGGGGGCAGGATGCATTGAATTATGGGTGTGGGCACGAGTGCGTGTGACACACACACACACCCGTGCTTCCCCCTGCTTTTGGCACACGACGGCAAAAAGGTTAGTCATCACTGCTTTAGACGTTTTCACTAAAAGAGAAGGCGGGACAAGGTGGGATAATAAGAAATATCATCTAATGAACATTTTAGCAATAATTCTACAATTTGTTCTCTTGGTCTCTAGCTGTCCCTATTCCTAAGCCTTGGCTAATGAATGCCCCAGGAGTTATCTAATACACCTTTTATTGACCGCAGGCCATCTCTATTCCTAATTGTTAGCTGAGATCTGCAAGTTGTCAGATTTCTAACGACCCAGAATTGTTACAAGATTTACACATGCGTATTTCCTGTAGATAAGCATTCTTGGTTCTTGCCGGACACACTCCCCAATTACAGGCTTCCTGATTTATTTTCCAGTGAGTGACATGACCTGGCTTTATTTTAGCATACAGCCCATCAGCCCAAACCGCCCAGTTTCCTTGACGGTCCCAAAAAGACAGCCTCTTTTATAAGGAAGGAGGAGATTTACCAAGAAGATCTTTGGTTGAAAGAGAAATGCTCTTTTTAATGAGTCCACGTTGGCCAATGGAAAGTGGTGTAGAGCAATACAGAAACAGTCTTGCAGATAATATGTGGAACCACGAATTCCCCCCAGGAAAAGAGGAAGGGCTGAGGAAGAACCTCAAGGCTGTTCTGCCTTGATGCTCTTTGGTGTCCAAGGGAGAGAAGGGGAAATATTTTCAAAATTCTGCTAGTATAATCCATATCAATAAAGTTGAGTTCTAATATCGTCATCTTCAGGCTGGAGCTTTTGGCTTCATGATTCTGCGAGCAAAGCGTGATTGGAACTGCCGGCTCTCTATAAATAACATAGATGTAACAACACAGCCAACCAACCCACTTACAGCAACAAAGCCAGCCCTCCCCACCTCCCCACCAGTATTTATAGAGAGACGGCAACTCCGATCACTCTTTGCTCGCAGAAGCACGAAGCCAAAAGCACCAGCCTGAAGATGACGAGTGAGACCTCATTGTCGCGAAGATACTTCCAAATTTACGTGTGAGAAAACCTGAATAACCAAAGACCTCCATACAAACACCTGCAAAAACCTCAGAAAACAAAGATATATATATATATATAAAATTTTATTTATGATTTTTTCTTTAACATCCAAACGTACTTGGGGAACAGTGTATTGTCTGGGTTAATATACTTTGCATACAATTCTGATAATGATATTACCATTGAAACATACATAATCATAATCTTTCAACTTCTAACATTTGTGTATACATAGTAATTATAATAGGCTATTATATTTCAGGATACATAATACTATTTTCCCAATTTCTACTTTCGACTTCTTTTCTTCTAATATTTCTTGCGTTGATGGCTTCTCAGCCTGATATACCTCAAATGATTGACAGATGGGAAGCCCGGGAGTGTCTGTGCTTCCAAAGGGACAGGGGTCCAGGATGGGAGAGAATTAGGCTGTGGGGCCGGTTGATACTGGGGTGGGGTGGGGGGCAGGATTTTCACGTGGCCTTGAAGAAAGTCCTGTCATCCAAGGGGAGAAACTGGGTTCTCAGGAGAAGGAATTGGCTCAGGGAGACTCAGCCATGAGTCTCAGGTACTTTGGAAGTCACCTGGTGAGGGCTGGATTAGAACACAGAACAGAAGGACTTCCAGTTTGCTGGCCTTCGGTGAAGACGGTCTCTTCTTAAGGACCGCCAGCCCCGCCGTCTGTAGAGCCGCTTCGATATCGAGAAGCGGCTTGAAAACTCTGAAATCCGTAGGATCGTAGGAGGAGAGTAGGCAAGGTACAGGTTGAGCCCCTGTGAGCCCCCAGAAAATTGCTACTGGGGAGGAAACAGGCGTGGCTCCCTTTCAACTTGCCAGACTCCGGATGGCGTGGGACGATTCTGCTTCCTGCAGAACAAGCCGGCTGCAGCAAACGTTTAAATCGAATGAAACCAACCTTAACAAACAGCGGAAATATCAACTTAAACCCTCAAACTTGGAAATCGCAAGTATTAATGCTTTGGTGACTTTTTGATTTAAGAGAAAGTACGAGCGAGTGAAAGTGATTTGAAAAAAAAAATGGCGCCCAGCAGCAGAGTTAACGAGCTAGCGAGAGTGGATTTGTGAAGCTACTTTGATCTGCTACAAAGTTGCGCTGTCTGTAATAAAGAGGAACAGGAGAAGAGGAAAAAATTCTTTCTTTAAAATCCGAGTCTGCTTCAGTCTAGTTTCTATTTGATTAAACCTGGGGGACTTTTTCAGAGGTCTCTGTGGAGGTGGCAAAGGAAAAAGGATTTCCCTTTTCAGAAAATCTAACTTACGTGGCAGGATGGCTTCAAAGAAGCAGGAAGGAAAGGCAGCGGGGGGGGGGATCCCCCACACACAAACATGAACAGCAGCTTCCTTCTGCTCAACAGACTCAGAAAAAAGATTTTGATTTTGAAAATTTAAAAGAATTTATCTCTCAGGCTTTGGATGATAAATTTCAAAAATCTCAACAGGAAATAGATGATAAACTTCAAAAATCTCAACAGGAAATTATGCAGGAAATTAATGAAATTAAAAATATGGTGAAACAGGATTATGGCAAGGTGTCTAAAAAAATATTGGATGTGGCGTCTGGCCTCTCAGAATTTATTATTAAAGTGGATTCCAAAGTGGAAGAATTTAAATCAGAAGTCAATGTTAAGATTAAGGATACTGATTATAAAATTTCTGATGTTGATGATAAAATGCAGAGAGTTGAAAATGAAATTGCAATGATGCAATTCAGGGCCATGGAATTCGCTATAAGGCTCAGAGGAATCAGAGAGAATGACAGACAGGATTTGAGACAGATTTGTGCTGATGCCCTGGCTGTGTTATTAAAAATTAATCCTGAAGTGGTTTTTTATAAAATAGACAAAATTTACAGAGTGAACTCCTGGGTGGCCAGACAAAGACAATTGCCTAGAGATGTAGTGATATATTTTACAGATAGAAGAATGAGAAATGATATTCTGCAAAAATCTTTTCTTTCCTCTGTGCAAGTGGGGGGGGGGCTCAAATTGGAGTTTATAAAGAATTGCCACTCAAAATGTTGAAAGATAGAAAAGATTTTGGTTTTCTAGTGAATGAATTGAAAAAAACAACAGATACCATTCCGGTGGGATGCCCCAACTGGTATAATTTTGAAATACAATGGAGAAAGATATCGGTTGAACACTGTTGAGAAGGCGGAACATTTTTATTCTACTATTCTTAAAGAGAGAACACCATCTCCACGTACATCCACAGTGTTGGAGATTAAGGAGAGTGATAAGAAGCAACCTCAGCAAGAGATAGAAGAACAGTCTAAGCAGGCGGAGCCAGAGGAAATGCAGGGTGCTGCAGGAGGTTTTCTGGAGGAGCACCTGTTAGAATCTTCTCCAATCTTGGACCCGGCTCGGATGGTTGAAGTCAAAGACCAGCGTATAACTCGTGCAAAATCTAAGCAACTTAAAGAAAAGCAACAACAGGAAAGACAATACAAAAAGGGAGCTAAGAGTACTACACAAGAGATTGAAGCCATGGGGGGAGCAAAACCGAAGATTTCGGAAGATCTTCGGCTATTCTGCTCGTTGCTTCAAAAAGATAAAGATGACAATTAAGTGCTTATCTTGGAATGTGAATGGGTTGAATTCATTACAGAAAAGGAAGAAGTTATTCACATATTTGAGACAATTTAATAATGATATAATTTGTTTACAAGAAACTCATATTAGAACTCAAGATCAAAAATACTTGATAAACTCTAAATTAGGAACACATTTTATAGCTTCAACTTTGCAAAAAAAGAATGGTGTGGTTATTTATGTAAACAAAAGATTGACAGCTAAAATTATAGAAGCAGATGAAGATGGTAGGTTTATAGCAATTGAATTGCTTACAGTAAACGGCCAAATTCTTTTGATTGGAATTTATGCTCCCAACCAACAACAGGATCACTTCTATAAAATGTTACACACTAAAATACTGCAATGGGATTATAGATCTATTCTAATTATGGGAGATTGGAATGGAGTAATTGATTCTAAATTAGATAAAAAGAGTTTGGCGAAATCAAGGAACAGACTACCACAGACTTTTTTTTGATATGAAAGAAGATTTGGAATTAAAAGATATTTGGAGAATACATAACCCAAAAGAATTGGACTATACTTTTTTTTCCGATAGACATAGATCCTTCTCTAGGATTGATTTTATTTTGTTGTCAGATGATCTACTTGTTAAGACAAAAAGAACAAAGATTTTTCCAAGAACTTTGACCGACCATAGCCCAGTATGGATAGAAATTGAGATGGGTAAAATTGAGAGACAATCATGGAGATTAAATGAAAACCTGTTCAGATATGAAAAAAATATAACAGAACTTAAAAAGCAGCTGAAAGAATTTTTTGAAATGAACTTGAATAAGGGTACCCCAATTGAAATTGTGTGGGATGCGAGCAAAGCTTACATGAGAGGGGTACTCATTAATATGAACTCTAAACATAGACTGAATCGACAAAAGAAAAGATCTGAACTGGAAGCAGAAATAAAGAATAAAGAACAGCTACTTATTAAAAATCCAACAGATGAAAGAATACGTGGTGCTATAAAACTTTTGAAAGATCAATTCCAAATGCTTATGGCGGAACAAGTTGCAACAAATCTACAATATGCGAGGCACAATACATTTTGTAACGCCAATAAACCGGGCAGATGGTTGGCCTATACATTAAGGAAGAAGCAGAGTATACGGACTATTGATAGTATTGATATTGGAGGGAAAGAAATCTTTCAACAAAAATTAATTAAAGAAGCTTTTGTAGACTATTATACTAAACTATATGCTAAAGATGATATGCAGAATGGACTTATAGAAAAATATTTAGATAATAAAAGAGCCACAAAAATTACTAATCAACAAAAGGAAAGAATGAATTATCCTATAACAGAGGAGGAGATAATAGTAGCAATTAAACAATTAAAAACAGCTAAAGCTCCTGGAACGGATGGTTTGACTGCAGTGTATTATAAAACTTTGCAAGCAGAAATGGTGGAACAACTTAGAGATTTATTTTGCAATATTCAACAAGGGGGTAAAATACCCCCATCATGGACAACAGCTTATATTTCTTTGATACCAAAAGAGCAAGTAGGTCCTAAAAAACCGGAGAATTATCGACCAATATCTCTTTTGAATAATGATTATAAAATTTATGCAAAAGTACTAGCCAACAGGTTGATGCCAGTAATCCAAGAGGTGATTCATGATGATCAAGCAGGATTTATCGAGGGCAGATACATGAAGGATAATGTAAGGCAAGTAATAGATTTATTGGAATATCTTGAGAGGAATAAGCAGGTACCTGCAGTGCTGGTCTTTTTGGATGCGGAAAAGGCCTTTGATAGAGTGGATTGGAATTTTCTATTAAAGACTTTAAAAAAGATGGACTTTGGGGACCAATTTATACAGGCGGTTTCAGCAATTTACCAAGAGCAAAAGGCACAGATTATTATTAATGGAAGTTTGACAACAGATTTTAAAATTGAAAAAGGAACAAGACAGGGATGTCCGTTATCCCCATTGCTATTTATTTTAACACTAGAAGTCTTGTTAAATACAATACGGGACTCTAATATCTTGAAAGGTATAATGATAAGGCAAGAGGACTACAGAATAAAGGCATTTGCAGATGATCTGGTTGTTACCCTAACACAGCCAATGGAATCAATAATCCAGATGAAAGACATTATACAAGACTATGGTAAAGTTTCAGGTTTTAGATTGAACCAGAAAAAAAACTAAGATGATAGTTAAAAATATGACACAAGATCGTAAACACGAGCTTGAAAGGAGGGCAGGTTTTGAGATTGTACCAAAGGTAAAATATCTAGGAGTTCAGGTTGCAGAATCAAATATGAAACTGTTTCAAAATAATTATGAGGTGTTGTGGCGAGATGTGCAGAAAGATATGGAGACTTGGAAAAAACTGCAGCTGTCTCTACTTGGAAGAATAGCAGCAGTTAAGATGAATATTTTGCCAAGATTTCTTTTTTTGTTTCAAATGATTCCAGTGCTTAAAAGCGATAAACAATTGAAAGAGTGGCAAAGTGGAGTGAATAAGTTTGTCTGGAACGAGAAAAAACCGAGAGTGAAATTGAAAATTATGCAAGATGTTCCAGAACGGGGAGGTCTTAAACTTCCAAACCTACAGTTATATTATGAAGCAGCAGCTTTATCTCAAACAAGTGATTGGTTTGGAAAGAAAAAGACTGGAATACTGAATATAGAAAGTTTTGATCTTGAATTTGGATGGCATGCTTACTTATTTTATGAAAATAAAGTGGATAAAGTATTTAAAAGCCACATATTTAGAGACTCCTTGATGAGAGTTTGGAAGAAGCACCGATTCAAATGGGATTATAAAATACCGCTATGGCTGGATCTTGGTCATATTATTTGGAATACAAATATAATGTCACTCGGGGGGGTTTCATACAAAGAGGTTCTTTTTACAGATGCGGGCAGATGGCAACTGAAGACATTAGAGACACTGTTGGATGAAGGGATTAACTTAACTTGGTTACAGTACAATCAACTTCAACTGAGATGGAAAGAGGACCAAAAAATTGGTATTATGTTGCATGAGGAAGAATTGGTTAGACATATAAAAGAGAAAGGTCCAATGCATATTAAAAGGCTTTACAATGTTTTGTTAGAAAGGGATTCAGAAACTGAATTGGTTAAAGATTGTATGATTAAGTGGGCACAAAATTTTGAAGAACCAGTGATGTTGGAAACATGGGAAAAAAATTGGGTTCAGAATGTTAAATTTACACAGTCACAGAATTTGAGGGAAAATTTCTATAAAATGTTTTATAGATGGCATTTAGATCCTAAGAAATTGTCATGCATGTACCCTAATGTTCAGCCAAAATGTTGGAGATGTGATTGTTTAGATGCTACATATTATCATGTCTGGTGGACTTGCAAGGAAGTTAAAGCTTTTTGGATAAAAATTTGGTGGGTCATGCAGAATGTTTTGAAGAAAAAAATTCAATTTTCTCCACAATTGTTCTTACTGGGTATAGTTAAGGGTTTTACATTGGGTGAAACAAAGTTGATATTGTACATGATAACAGCAGCGAGATTATTGATAGGTAAATATTGGAAAAATGAAGCTTTGCCCACTATCGAGGAATGGACTTTGAAGATGGCCAGTTTTGCAGAGATAGCGAAGATTTCAGCATACCTAAAAGATTGTTCACAAGAGACTTATGAATGGGAATGGAAAAAGTGGATAGATTATGTGCAGAACAAATATCAAACTAGGAAGTATCAAATAGCTTTTATTTGAAAATGTTATATTAAGATAGATTAGTGAAGATGAAAAATTATAAGGGGGATGGAGGGGTTCAAGTTTTATATAAAGGGGTTTTTTTTCTGATGTGAGTATATTGTGGGGAAGTCCGGGAGGAGGGGAGGGTTAGGGAGGGTTAGGGAGGATGAGGTTGGGAAGTTTGGGGTGGGTAGAGGGGGGGGAAAGGGGTGAAAATGTAATTGTAAAACTTTTGCAATAAAAAAAAAGAAAGAAAGAACACAGAACAGAAGGAAGGAAATGGAGGGCCTTTGGGAGAGTTGCCACTGTGGAGCAGAGGATCAATCAGTCTCTATGAAAATGATCAGGACTTGTGTTTTTTCTTGAACTTCTCCATGTCCGCCTTCAGCATGTCTTCCGTGTAACAAGGAGCATCCTCATTCTTCTGCACCAGTTGATCAATCATGGTCATCAGTTCGGCCACCTGAGCCTCTCGTTCTTCTCCTGTGGCCTTGTTGTTAAAAGCCAGGTACCGGTTCCCACAATGGTATGCCTGTTCCCTAAGACGGAAATGTCCCTCAAATATCAATTCCTCCAGAGACATTCCTTCCAGGTCCTCTTTCCGGGTGAACAAGAGGATCATGTAATTCAGGGCCCTAAAGTCAAAAATCTCTCTGATCAGCTGAGCCACTTCGATATCTTCCTGGGAGAAACAGCCAGGACGCACGATGCGCAGAATGACATGTGGACCCGGGGAGCAAAACTTCATACACTTGCTCACTTCGGCAACAGATTCTCTCATGGGATAGCCATAGTCGAAGATGCCAGGTGTATCAACTACCACAACCTTCCTGCCATTCAGCCACGTCTCTTCTCTTTGGCAAGTTTTTTTCAGTAGCGTAAATGACAACCCAAACTCAAAGACTTTTTTTCCCAGAATTGTGTTTCCTGTTGCACTTTTCCCATTTCCAGTTTTGCCCACAAGGACGATCCTCCGCTCAGGACCTACCAAACGGGGAAGCAAGAAGGAAACGTGGTCAACAGCATAAGATCATCATCTGTCCCTCCATCATTTTTCCCACCCCACCCCCACCTGCCAGCCCCCAGGGCTCATGGCTTTACCTCCGAAGTTTGCAGTCCTACCCAGAGGAGTCGCCCAGGACAGATCTGGCGGTTTCTGCATGAAAAGAGAAACAGAATCAGCCAAAGGAGAAGCTGCCTTGCTCAGAAGTGGCCAGGAAGTGTCCTCTCCCAGAACTAACAGGCAGGACCTGAAGGGGCCTTAAAAGAGGGTCACCCCCTCCTCACTGCCCTTGAGGCAGTCATTGGATCCCTTCCCCTCTTTTTATGCAACCCTTCAAACTTTCGGAATCTGCACTTTGGGGCTTTCAGGAACAGTTTAGGTTTAGGTTTATTTGATTTTTATACTGCCCTTCTCCCGGGGGACTCAGGGCGGTGCACAGCCAGCAATAAAAAACAATATACAAAAGTTAAAAGACAATTAAAATCTATTAAACAGCTTGGCCCCAGCATTAAAACTAATCAGTAAAACCCATTAAAAATCTCATTTAAAATCTATTTAGGCCAAGCCATCTTGTTGAAATAATAGCGTTTTGAGGGCACGGCGGAAGGGATCTTCTGTATCTCAGGGGGCAATTCGTTCCAAAGGGCAGGCGCCCCCACAGAGAAGGCTCTCCCCCTGGGTGTCACCAGTCAACATTGTTTGGCCGACGGCACCCGTAGGAGGCCCTCCCTGTGGGAGCGTACTGGTGGGTGGGAGGCTATCGGCGGCAGAAGGTGGTCTCGTAGATACCCAGGTCCTAAGCCATGGAACACTCTAAAGGTGGTCACCAACACCTTGAATCGCACCCGGAAGACCACCGGCAGCCAGTGCAGCTTGCGCAGGAGAGGTGTTACGTGGGAGCGTCTTGTCACTCCCACAATCACCCGTGCGGCTGTATTATGGACCAGTTGGAGCCTCCGGGTGCTCCTCAAGGGGAGTCCCATGTAGAGAGCGTTACAGTAGTCCAGGCAGGAAAAGACGAGGGCATGCGTGACTGTGCGTAAGGCATCCCAATCCAGAAAGGGGCGCAATTGGTGTATCAGGCAGACCTGATGAAAAGCCACCCTGGCTACAGCCATCACATGATCTTCCAAGGACAGACATACATCCAGGAGGACACCCAAGTTGCGAGCCCTCTCTGTAGGGGGCAAAATCTCACCCCCAATAGCCAGCGATGAAGTCAGCTAACTATAACGGGGTGCCGGAAACCACAGCCACTCAGTCTTGGAGGGGTTGAGTCTGAGTCTGTTTCTCCCCATCCAGATCTGCACGGCCTCCAGGCACCAGGACATCACGTCAAGGGCATTATTGGGGTGGCCCGAGGTAGAGATGTACAGCTGAGTATCATCAGCGTACTGATGGAACTTTACCCCGAACCCATGGATGTTCTCTCACAGTGGCTTCACATAAATGTTGAACAGAAGGGGCGAAAGGACTGACCCTTGTGGCACCCCACATAGGAGCTGCCTCGAGGTCGACCTCTGCCTCCCTGTCAACACAAACTGTGAACGGTCAGAGAGGAAGGAGGAGAACCACCACAAAATGGTGCCCCCCACCTCTAACCCCTCCAGCCATCACAGCATGATACCATGGTCGACGGTATCAAAAGCCGCTGAAAGGTCCAATAGGACTAGGACAGAGGAACAACGCCTGTCCCGAGCCCTCCAGAGATCATCAACCAATGCGACCAATGCCGTTTCCGTGCTATGCTCAGGCCTGAAGCCTGACTGGTGCGAGTCTAGATAGACAGTTTCATCCAGGTACCAGGGAAGCTGTCGCACCACCACACTCTCAACAACCTTCGCCACAAAATGAAGGTTGGAAACTGGACGATAATTTGCTAATACAGCCGGATCCAGGGAAGGCTTCTTGAGGAGGGGCCGCACCACCGCCTCTTTCAGGGCGGAGGGGAAGAAGCCCTCTCTCAGAGAAGCATTAATAATCCCCTGGAGCCAGCCTTGCGTAACCTCCCGGGAGGCCAGCACCAACCAGGAGGGACACGGGTCCAATAAACATGTGGCTGCGCTAAGCCTACCCAGAATCCTATCCACATCCTCGGGAGCCACAGGGTCAAATTCCTCCCAGATAACAGTCCCAAGACCCGCCTCCATCTCCCCCCCTCCGAAGCTACCCAGTCAGAGTCCAAACCGTCCCTGACATGAGTGATTTTGTCATGCAGATATTGCACAGTCCTCAGCCCTACCCTGCAAAGGGTCTACCCGCACTCCCAGATGAAATAGGGAGTGGGTCACCCTAAACAGAGCAGCTGGGCAGTTATCTGCAGACACGATGAGAGCGGAAAAGTAATTCAACTTCGCCACTCTCATCGCCACTAAGTAGGTCTTAATATGAGACCTCACCAGTGTTCGGTCAGATTCGGAATGGCTGGCCCGCCAACCACTCTCTAGGCATCTTTTCCAGCGCTTCAGCTCCCTCAGCTCCTCAGAGAACCAAGCAGCCCATTGAGATCGGCACCGGGTCAGAGGCCGCAAAGGCACGACTCGGTCCAAAGCCCCAGCGGCAGCCCTATCCCAGGCACCCACCAGGTCTTCAGTCGAGTCGTGGGCCAGAGGGAATGGCCCAAGCTCCATCAGGAACCTATCCGGATCCATCAGGTGCCTGGGACAGAACCACCTGGTCGGTTCCATCTCCCTGCGATGGAGGGTAGCGGATCGGAAGTCGAGTCGAAGGAGCGAATGATCTGACCATGACAAGGGCTTGATAACTAAATCCCTTATTCCTAAATCATTCAGCCACTGACCAGAGATAAAAATCAGATCCAGGGTGTGTTCCCCCATGTATTTGGGGTCTTGAACTAATTGGGTCAGGTCCATGGCCATCATGGAAGCCATGAACTCCCGAGCTGCCTCTGAGTTTTCACCGACAGATGGCAGGTTGAAATTCCCCATGACCATAAGCCTGGGGGTATCAACCGCCACCCTGGCAATCTCATTGAGCAGCTCAGGCAGGGCTGCCGCTACATAGCAGGGAGCCAAGTACGCAGTCAGCAGACCCATCTGCACCCCCCGGCCCCACTTCACAAGGAGGGATTCACACCCGGCTATCTGAGGAACAGTGGCGTCCCTCGGACACAGATCTTCCTTTATAATGATCGCCACCCCTCCACCCCTGCCCTGAGCTCTAGGTTGATAGAATGTGTGGAAGCCTGGTGGACACATCTCAACAAGGGGAACCCCCCTCTTGGCCCAACCAGGTCTCCGTAACCCCCACCAGATCGGCACCCCCCTCCTGAACAAGATCACAAATGAGGGGGGCTTTATTTACCACGGATCTGGCATTTCATAACATCAGTCGAAGGCCTGGGCCTGAGAGTCTGCACACCCTGGGGAACGAGAAAGGCCTTGGGAGCCCGAGCGCACCACCGCTCTAAGACAGCGGGTGCGCGCTCCCGAAATATGATACGGCCCCCTGCCACCACCATATCTGCCTCTCCCACTCATCGTACTGATGGAACAGCCTGCATTAAAATGCATTAAAATTAAAACAGTAGGCATTGATGACTCAAATGGCTGGCAGTTCCCCGCAGCCAATGCGATGCTGGAGAGATCCTGTTCTCTGGGCCTTTAGCTGCCCCGCTGCAATTCCGGAATGACACCAAGTGCTCCCAGGCCCTCGTCCTCCAAGTTCCTCCTCCCACCTGTCTCTTTGCTAGTAGGAATCCTTCCCGGGGGTTGAGGGGAAGCTCCATGGTGGAGGCTCTTTGCTCCAAGCCCTGCCATCCTGGGCAAGCAACGTCCGCTGGGAATGCTGATTGCACCCATGCATGCCTGCCCCCACCTGATGCTGCCTCCTGGGATACTTCCCTGCCCTTTGGCACTCCTCTCAGGTCTGCCATCTCCAGCATATGCAGCTTTGCTGGCATCTTGCCATGAAATGTAGGGAGCGGAGAGGTTGGGGTGATAGGAGGGGGGAATGACAGGGTGTCAGGAACCAGTGGTGTCAATCCAGAACAGTCCAGCTAATCACGGACGGTGTTTGGATGCAAAACTTGGATGCAAAACTACATCCAAGAGGCACCAAACCTCAAAGCCGTTCTCAAAACATCTAACTCAAACACCATTGGACAGTGGACTGGTCAGGGATGAGGGCGTGGGAGATGTAGCAAAATGCAGGCTTTGTGCAGAAATATTCAGATCCAGTTTTGCTTGTGATGTAACCACTTGACTTTAGTAAAACCAACCCCTTCAATTCAACTATGGAATCGAGGGTCTTTCTTTGCTAAATGCTCCAGTCGGGACAAGCCTGACAGTCTCTGTTCAAGACCTCAAGGGCCCATCCCTCCAGCAATGTTGCTGAATTCAAGCAACTCTGATGCCAGCACCCGCCACACACGTGAATTCATTGAAGGTTGGTATTCTACCAAAGGAGCAATTCACAAGCATATGGATCTAGATCCAGGATATGAATACATAAGAAACCAGACTATTCGAACGACCAATCAACAAGCGAACCAATCAGCTGCTCAGAATTTAAATATAGCTCCAAACGAACAACCAATCACACGACCTACTGACCTACTGACCCACAAGACATTGATAAGCTAAGAAAAATAGGACAAGAAAATCCTGCTGATGACGTTACCTAGCCTGGTAATGAAATGTTCAGAAATGAAATTGAAACAAGCTTGGAGAGCAAACCTTGGCCAACATCTCATATGTCTCCAGCTCCCAGAATGAACTTCCAGGCACCCCTTCACAAAGCCAGAGCATGAGGGTCCCCAATTACACTACACACCCCAACTGCAGCCATAAATTTTTGAATCCCATCATCAAATCAAATCGGGTCAAATTATTCTCCAGAGCACCAGAGGCAGGGATGAAATGCTACCTGTTTCCTCCGGTTCAAGCGAACTGATAGTTTGGGCAAACCGGTAGTAAAAAAAAGCTACCGGATCGGTTGAACCGGTAGTTTAAAAAGCTACCGTTTCCTCCGAACAACTATTTCCAACGATCAGCTGTGCAGCAGGGTTTAGCTTTGCTAGAAAGGAGGAAATCCTGCTTTCTAGCAAAACTAAATCACGCACCACAGGTGACCACTCCCCTCACTTCTACTTACCTTCCCAAGCCCTCTTTTGGCTCGCACTGCACATGCGCAGCCAGTGAACTGGTAGCAAACTGGTTCGGATTTCACCACTGACCAGAAGGCAGAGCAAGAAACAATGGCTGGGAATTAATCCAAAAGAGAAGCAAGAGAAACAGGACAAAGCAGAGATTCTAAGAATCTCTCTTTTACAGTCGGAATGTGGGAAGCGGTACCAGAGGTTCCAAACACTGTAGGAGATGCCAGGGAATTCTCTCTGCTCTCCTCCTCACATTCACCCAGAAGAGAATTACCTGTTCAGTCTTCTCTGCAGGATAGATGCAAGTGGTCTCCTCACTCCATCGGCTGATCTCAAGATGTGTCACAGCAGCACATCGGAATTGGTACTGAGTAGTGAGGTGCACATTTTCTAGGGTGAATTCATTCTTAGAACCTTCTACATGGAGACTTTTCCAGTTCTCCTCTCCTGCAGCCCGATATGCCACTTGGTACCCAGAGATTGAACCCATCGCTTCGGCCATTGGATTAATAGTGATCAGGAAACTATTTGGTTTGACAGGCTGAACCTTAAGAGAGGGAGGACTTCTAAGAGCAGCTTCCAGCTCCTGACGTTCCTTGAGGATGTCCATGGTCAAGGTTAAATTTTTGGTCTCCACCATCTTTAAAGAGTCAAAGAAATCCTTCATGCTCTCAGTGCTCATTTTCCAGAACATTTCAGCAACCGCATTACGGCTTCCTCCATTTTGGGTGGGAGCAAAGAGAGCTGAATGGTTGAATCTGAAGTGCAGAGGGGTTCCTGACTCATCCTGAGCACACGGCAGGTCAGCCTCCTTGAGGGCCTCCAGGACAGGTGGGGTCCCCCCATCCGCAAAGGTGATCAGGAGTTGGATGTTATCCTTCACATCTTTTCCCAACATGGAGAGCATGGAATCAAAGACACATTTCTGGGCATGAGTTGAATGGGAAAGGAAGGCTTGGGCCACCAAGCAGATGGCATCCACGTGGTCAATGCCCCCTGGGGTGGAGAAAAACTCCAGGAGCTGTTTCTCAACCAGTTTGTCTTGCTCTGCATCGCCAAATCCTGGCGTGTCAATGATTGTGAGAGAATAGGGAATTCGGAAACATTTCTGATGGTTCACCATGTAGGCTGTCACTTCAGACGTCCTGCTTCCAGCTTTACTTCTTTGGGTGATTTCATGAATGAGTTTGAATCTGAAATTATCTTCCCACTGGACACCCAGAATATAATTGATCATCCCGTTGATCAGAGTGGTTTTCCCACATCCTGTTGCCCCCGTCACCAGGATCATTTTATTGGGCACTTCTAGGTTCACCTTTCCAAACTGATACACGAGACAGGAGGTGGAGGCGTCTGAGGAGACTTTCTCCAGAGGAAGGGCGAAGACTAATGGCTGTTTGTCCTCCACCAGGAAGCTTTCCTGAAGGACCTGGTGGGACACATTTCGTCCATCTTCTTTCTCCAGTGATGTGGAGACCTCCACCTCCTCACTGGGAACACCCAGAGCTCCATTATCACACACAGCTGACACTCGTATTTTATACACCGTCTGGGATTTCAATCCTTCAATGGGATAAAATTCTGTTTTTCTCCCAGTCCTTTTTCCAATCCATTGGTCCTTCCCAACTCCAGCCTCCACCGTTCTGTACGCCGCCTTGTACTCCTTTACCACAACTCCTGAGGCAACGATGCTGGGACTCATCCAGGCCACAGAGATGACAGAAGGTGCTGCAGTGACCATTCTTAATTCCTCAGGAGGGCTGGTGGGAAGGGTCTTTATGGATGGGCTCAGGTCACTGGATTTACTAAGGCCTGGCTTGCAACAAGCAGAGTACTGGAACTGGTACTCTGTGTTTGGAGGTAGATCTTTCAGCAGGAACATCTCCCTGTTGTCCTCTGTCCTCATGGTCTTCCAGTTATCTTCCCCTGCAACCTTGTACTCTACCAGATAGTTGGAGATGGAAGCCTTTCCATATTCAGCTGGCTGAAACTTCAGTTGAATGCTGTCGTGTCTCAGTTCACTGCTCAGGAATTGGAGAGGTTTTGAGGGCAACTCAAAGTTCTTGCTGACCTGATATCCATCTTCATAAAGGTATATTGAGGCTCCTGGGGTGTCGAGATCTGGTTTTGAGGCCACAAGAAAGCGGACCTTCTCATTGGATTGGTTGATACTGAAAAAGTCTTTGATGGATTTGGCAGCTTGGCGAGCATTGCGGGTCCTCTTCTCGTCTTCAAACCAAGCCTTTGCTTTCTTCACCTCAGGACTGGATCTTGTGGACTTACTTGATTCTTGCAAGAATTGCTCCTGAAGCCACTTCTGTAAGATCAACAGAAATAGCTCCTCTTCACGTAAAGAAGTTAATGTAAAGGAGACCACATATACATTCTGCGGGTCCAGAACTATTTCTTCCAGCTTGTTCTGAGTTGAGATAACTTCTATATTATTTAGAATAGTCAGATAAGATTTGACAAAGTTAATTTCTCTTTTTTTGCTGTCCAGAAATTCACGGAGTCTTTGGCTGTTGAAGGGTGACTGGTTGACAGATATCAAGAGGTTCACCAGGGTCCCTTCCTCCTGCCCTCCTCCCCGGATGGAAGGCAACATTCTGGCCAGCTCTTTCTGGAAAGTCTGCCTGTGTTGCTTGCAGAGATCCTTGAACTGCTGGATCTTCCTCTGGATCTCAGGGAAGGTCTCAGCAATGGGATTCTTGGCTAGATCGTTGCTTTGCATCTGGATTTCATTGAGATCCTCCAAGATCATTTTAGCATCAAAGATCAACGTTAGGCTGATCTCACGGACCATCTTAGCTGCTGTGGTGTCCAGCTTGGTCAGAGGGTAGAGCCAGACCCTCATAGGCACAGCCTTCTCCCCATCTTTCCCTAACATTTTTGGGAGAGTTTCATAAACTTTCATGGCATCTTGGAAAGTCACTGGATTTTTCTCCAAAGAAAAGTCTCCATGGAATTTGCACCTGAACTTCAGAGCATCCTCTTTCTCCTTCGCAGTCAGTTGGACCTCTGCTTCTCCTCCAATAGATATTTCCTTCGTGAGTGTAGCCTGGAGTCTTCCTTCTGTATTTTTTACCTTCTCTATTGAAGAAACTTCTCGGTCAAAGACAAAGAAGGCTTGGGCTCCGTAGAGGATGGCGGTGACCACATGGGTGGCTGTGCCATGCTCAAAGACGGCTTTGTGAGAGATATTCTGGATTCCCAGGTGGCTCATTGTCAGCTGTTCATACTGGTGGTGGTTTTGTATTGAACGGTGACTCTGGCCTGTTGCTTGGACTTCTTGATGTCACGAAGATACTTGGCCGACCCTCCGAGGAAACTGGCCTTGAGGGAGGCTGAGATGTCCAGGGCGGAGCTCTTATCATCAATGGTGTCGGATGCAATGATTTCAGATTCAGTTTTGGGCTGAGGCTTGTTGGTCAGGTCCTTCTGAAGAGAGCTGTAATCCCAAAGGGTGACCCCTGCACGGAACAGAAGAAAACAGGTAGATGAATTTAACACCATCTTCCAAAACACCTGCAGGTGGACAGAAGAACTTCAGAGAGGTGGGACAAGGGAGACATCATTTCAGAGGTGGTATTCCACCGATATGGACCAGTTCAGGTGAACTGGTAGCGGCAGTTTGACCTGGTTCACCGATCCGGTAAGTACCACCTCTGCCTGTCCCTGCCCACGCCCACCCGGTTGCCATGTCGCCACTCACCCCTTCCAGCTGCTTGTCCCGCCCACCCCCATATATGTTGCTAATCACCAGCTAATCACCTTGCCACTCACCTCCCCTGCTCTGCTCAGCTCACCAAACGTAAGCAATGCATGTTGCCCACTCACCATTCACCTTGGGTTGGGGCCAAGAGCCCAGGGATGCGCCATTCCCTTGCTCCAACCTTCCCCCAGAGTCTCCGCCCACTCACCACCCACTCACCATTAAGTGTGACACATCACCCTATTTCCCCTCCTTCAGAGGCCCTGGGCCTTAATCTCCCCACTTCCTCACCCATGACCGCCTCTTTCTTCATCCCACAGCTGTGATCTTACCTTCCTCCTGCAGCTGGCTTCTGAGGAAGGCAAGCCATGCTGAGCCATCGCCACTGGGCTCCCCCCCACCCCACATGTTTCCCCCCTTGTTGCGAGATGCCTGCAGATGCCGCCTCTTTTTTTCAGTTCAGCTGGAGTCCAGCTACAATGAAAAAAAGAGGCAGCGGCTGCTGGCTTCTTGCAGTGAAAGTTACTGACATGTTTTACAAAATACCACAACCTCCAAAGGCTTTTGACTGAGTAGAGGGGAATGGGAATTGCTATGCACCTCTTGGTCTCCTGGCAGATTTACCATTCCCTGGAGAAACTCTGATTTTCATCATAGACAGTGGCCACATGGGCTCCTGCTGCACATGACTGCAGGTGCTGCCGCCATGAGGCAATTGTCGGGGCGTTCAACCATGCGCCCCTAAGGTGAGCCAGTGTGAATGCCGGGTGCTTCCACCCCTGCCTCATCGCAGTGGCACTCAAAAAAAATTAAGACAACCCCCCCCCAAAATAAGTCCTAGTGCTTATTTTAGGACCCAAAAGAAAATAAGAGTGGGTCTTATTTTCATGGAAACACAGCATTAGCAGGCCATGGGCCCAAGAGTCCCACTCTAAAGTTGGGCTGAGCCTGTGCATTGATGGCAGCTCCAGCCTTCTTCCTTCCAGCGTTTTCTTCAGGGGATGCCCATCCGCCTCCTTCTCTTCCAGCTCCTACCTGGGATGAGGGTATCCTTGCAGCAGTCGTACAGCATCCCCAGCTGGAAGGGGCGGCCCAGGGCTGGGGTCTCAATGGCGTCCTCGGCCAGGGCCATATTCAGCTCCTGCGTGTCGCTGGTGCTTCTGGTTGCCTGTAAGAGAGGAGAAACTTCTGGAGGACACCAGAACTGACCGATGACTCTCTGAGGGGATGCAGGATGTGGGCACCAGCCACCCTCCATGCACTGATTCGGTTCGGTTTGTCAGGGAATTCCGCAGTCTGTGTCCAAATGGAGTCGGAAAACTCTGACGTGAACTTGAAGTTTGTCAGAGTTTGCAGCACATCCAACCAGCACACAAGTAAATAATTCTGCAGGATTCATCCACATAAGAAAAACCTCTTTATATATAAAATACCATACAGCAGAAGTCAGCATACAAAAATCAGGAACACAGACTTCCGGGTGGCAAGGCAGGCGTTGAAGATGGTTAGGCTTTTTTTTTTTTATTGAAAAGTTTTAAAAAGAAAAACCATTTTACATTTCCCCCCCCCCATCCCTCCTCCCCCCTCCCTCCTCCCCTTCCGTCCCCCTCCCCCGACTTCCCAGAGCAAACACAAGGTATAAAATTTAACGAACACATTTTAACCTACTCTTAACAAACATAATCTAACATATATTAACTACCTAATAGTCTCCTTCCTCTTTTGCATTTTAACTCCTCTCTTGATAAATTAAACATAACCTCTCTCTTAAACCTCTCCATTATTCATATGCTAAATAAAAAATTTTAGTCCGATATTTATTTTGAATATAATCTATCCATCTTCGCCATTCCAAAATATATCTTTCATTTGATTGGTCCTTCAGGTATGCTGAAACTTTTGCCATTTCAGCTAAGTTGTTCACTTTTAATGTCCATTCCTGTACAGTTGGTAAATCTTTCTTCTTCCAATATTGCGCCACCAACAATCTGGCTGCTGTTATTAAATTTAACATCAAATTAATTTCTATCACAGTACAATCTGTAATTATTCCTAACAAAAATAACTGCGGAGTGAATTTTATTCTCTTCTTAAAAATATTTTGCATAATCCACTATATTTTAATCCAAAATGCCTTAATTTTTCTACATGTCCACCATATATGATAGTATGTGGCATCCTCACAATCACATCTCCAACATTTAGATCTCAGATTAGGATACATACAAGCTAATTTTTTCAGATCTAAATGCCACCTATAAAACATTTTATAAAAATTTTCTCTCAAATTTTGGACTTGTGTAAATTTCACATTCCTAACCCATATTTTCTCCAATGTTTCCATCATTATAGGTTCTTGAATATTTTGTGCCCACTTTATCATACATTCTTTAACCAATTCCGTTTCTGAATCTATTTCTATCAAAGCGTTATATAACCTTGTTATATGTTTTGAAGTTTGATCCCTAATTTGTTTTATCAAATTTTCATCCGTTGATAAAATACCAATCTTTTGATCTTCACTCCATCTTACTTGCAGCTGCCTATATTGAAACCATGTTCGTACTATTCTTTTCTCTTTTAATTCATTCAAAGTCTTCAATTGTAATACACCACCTTCCATATCAAGAAGATTTTTGTAGTCAATTACATCTTGTCTTTGTTCTATACTTATATTCTCTATCGAGTGTCTGGGTATCGTCCAAAGTGGTATTTTTTCATTTAATTTATATTGATATTTTTTCCAGACTCTCAATAAAGAATTCCTTATTATATGACCTTTAAATGCTCTATCTACTTTTTTTCCATATACCAAATAAGCAGGCCAACCATATAGTAAATCATACCCTTCAATGTTCAATATTCTTTCTTTTGTCATGTTTATCCAGTCACTAATTACTGACAAGACAGCTGCTTCATAATATAACCTTAAGTTAGGCATTTTAAGACCTCCTCTTTCACGTATATCCTGCATTATTTTTTGCTTTATTCATGGTTTCTTCCCTGCCCAAACAAAATTACTTAATCCCTTTTGCCATTCCTTCAAATTTGCATCTTTTTTAAGTATTGGTATCATTTGAAAAAGAAATAAAAATTTAGGTAAAACATTCATCTTTACCACTGCTATTCCAATGATAATATAAACAATAATGGGGACAGAGAACACCCTTGTCGTGTCCCCTTTTCTATATTAAAAATATCTGTTAATGTACCATTAATAATTATTTGTGCTGTTTGTTTCTGGTATATTGCCTGAACAGATTTTATGAAATATTCACCAAATTGCATCTTTTCTATTGTTTTCAATAAAAATTGCCAGTTCAGACGATCAAACGCTTTCTCTGCATCCAAAAATATCAGCGCTGCAGGGACCTGGTGGTTTTTCTCCAAGTATTCTAATATGTTAACTATTTGTCTTACATTATTTTTCATATATATTCCATTTATAAATCCCGTTTGATCATTATGAATCATTTGTTGCATAACTACCATTAATCTATTTGCTAATATTTTTGCAAAAATCTTATAATCCGTATTTAAAAGTGATATAGGTCTATAAGTTTTTGGCTGTGTATGGTCCTGATCTTCCTTGGGGATCAATGAAATAAAAGCTGATCTCCATGATGGAGGTACGCCCCCCCCATTCTGTATCTTAATAAATAGATCCCTTAGGGGATCCACTATTTCTAATTGTAATTTCTTATAATAAACTGCTGTCAGTCCATCCGTCCCAGGGGCTTTACCAAGTTTCAATTGTTTAATTGCAAAAACAATCTCTTCAGTAGTTATTGGTCGGTTTAAAGCCTGTCTTTGTTCCTCTGTAAGCACAGGAATATTCTCATTTTGCAAATATCTATCAACATCTATGTTTTGAATATTATCACTAGCATACAAGTTCTTATAAAAATCTACAAATGCTTTCTTAATCAAATCCTGTTGATAAACCTCTTTACCTTTATACACTACTTTCTCTATAATCCGTGCTTTTTGTTTTTTCCTCAATAAGTATGCTAACCACCTTCCTGGTTTATTAGCATTACAAAAAGTATTATGTTTAGCATATCTCAAATTAGTTGCAACTTGATCAGCCATAAGCATATTAAATTGCCCACGCAATAAATTAATTGTCTCTTGTATCTTCTTATCCCCTGGGTTTATCATCAAGGCTTGCTCTTTATGCTTTATTTCAATTTCCAAATCCTGCCTTTTTTCCCCCCTTTTACGTCTAAATTTAGTATTCAGATATATCAAAACTCCCCTCATATATGCTTTACTAGCATCCCATACCATTTCCATAGAAGTACCCTTGTGCATATTTAACGCAAAAAAATCTTTCATACATTTCTGACATTCTTTCACATTTTCCTCATATCTAAGCAAATTTTCATTTAGTCTCCATGATCTCCTCTCTCCCCTTCTATAATCCAACTCCATCCAAACTGGACTATGATCAGATAAAACTCTTGGGCATATCTTCGTTTTCTTCACCCTGTAAAAAAGATCACTGGTAATTAGTATAAAATCAATCCTTGAAAGTGATTGATGTCTATGAGAAAAAAAAGTAAAATCTTGATCCGTCACATTCCGTTCCTGCCATATGTCTCTTAATTCCATATCCTCCATAATTTCAAAAAAGGCCTTTGGTAATTTAGCTCGGGTTTGAGATTTTTGCAACAATCCTTTCTTATCTTTTTTAGGATCCAAAACTCCATTCCAATCTCCCATCAAAATACATGTTTTATAATCCCATTGTAATATCTTGGAATGTAAAGTCTTATAAAATCCTTCCTGTTGCTGCTGCTGGTTTGGGGCATATATTCCAATTAAAAGTATTTTTTCTCCAGCTTTTAAAAGTTCAATCACAATATATCTTTCTTGGTCATCTGATTCAACTAATTTTGTCACTAAATCCTTTTTGCAGTATATAACTATTCCATTTTTTCCCCCGGAGCCGAAGAAATATAATGTGTGAAGAAATATAATGTGTTCCTAGTCTAGCATTTATCAAATATTTTTGATCTTGTGCCCTTATATGTGCCTCTTGTAAGCAGATTATCTCATTCTTAAACTGTTTCAAATAATGAAATATTTTCTTTCTCTTCTGAGGAGAATTTAAACCATTTACGTTCCATGTCAAAAAACTAGTTGCCATCCTTTGACCCTTGAAGCTTTTGGAGCATCAGTTGAACATCATCCTGGATATTCCTTTTCGGCCTGGCTCCTCCCACAGCTTCCGTCTTTGATATTTCTTGAGAGAATTGTTGAATTTGCTGAGCTTTAATTTCTTCTTCTTTACGTCTGGTTACTGCCCGGGTCTGTATTTGTTCTTGAAGGTCTTGTGACTTTCCCACTTCTTCCATAACTTGCACTGAGCTCAAAAGTTGTATTAAGTCACCTTGAATTGATATGGAAGTCCCTTGTGCCTGTGTCAATGCCAATGTATCTTCTTTCTCCTTTTCTTTCATTTTCTCAGCTTCTTCTTTTTTCCTTCTACTTTCTGGAGATGGTACAGTTCCAGCCTTCAACACATTATTGTAGAAATGTCTCGCTTTATCAACTGAGTTCAACCAATATCTCTGTCCCGAATAATTAAACACCAATCCGGCTGGAACCTCCCATCTGTACTGTATCTGCTGATTTCTCAATTCTTGAACCAAAAAAGCACAATCTTTTCTCACTCTCAGCATCTTAGGAGGTATTTCTTTCAAAATCAGGACTTCCTGACCTTCAACCCGAAACTTTTGTTTAAAAGAGGCTTGCAAAATCTCATTTCTTGCTCTTCTTGTTGTAAAATAAACAACAATATCTCTTGGCAAATTTCTCTGTCTAGCAATCCAGGAATTAACACGATAAATTCTTTCTATTTGCCATTCCACATCTTCCTCCTTTATTTCCAGCAAAGCTGCAAAGGCTTCAACAAAAATCTGTCTAAGAGCCTCCTTCATATTCTCTTTCAATCCTCTAATCCTTAGGGCCAGTTCCATCGATTTAAATTGCAAAATTGAGACTTCCATCTCTGCTTTTTCAGAGACTGCCTGGGCATCAGCCAGCCTTTTTTCCACATCAGATTTAAAATTCTCCAACTGTTCCACTCTCTCATCTATCCGTTATACATGGCCTGCCAGGCCCTGAAATGCCAAAACTATATCCTCTCTAATTTTATTATTC